AAGAACGAAATCACCACCATCGTATCTCCCCACACTGGCAAGCCCATTCATTTGACCGCCACTGGCGACGATGCCATGGACTATGTCATGTCCCACGATGGTGACAAGGTCGAGCTCGACCCAGAGACAGACCGCAAGTTGGTCCGCAAAATCGACTTGTACCTCTTGCCGCTCATTTGTCTCTTGTACTCGGTCCAGTTCATGGACAAGATGTCCAACTCCTACGCCGCCGTCATGGGCTTGAGAGAGGACTTGGATATGCATGGTGACATGTACGCGTGGACTGGTTCTGCGTTTTACCTTGGTTACTTGGCCCTTGAGTTCCCCTGTGCATACACTTTGCAAAGGTTCCCTGTCATCACCACCGTTTCTGTCTATATTATCATCTGGGGTATCATTTTGATGTTGCACGCCGTTCCCAACTACGCCGGTTTCGTGGCCTTGAGAACGCTCCTTGGTGCCTTTGAATCTTCCGTTACCCCAGCTTTCGTCATTGTCACTTCTCAGTGGTACAGAAAAGACGAGGTTTTCTTAAGAACCGCCTTGTGGTTCTCCTTCAACGGTCTCGGTCTTATCATCGGTTCCGGTGCCATCGCTTACAATCTTCATGCCAACATGGACAGCTACTCGATCGATGCCTGGAAGTTGATCTTCATTATCACAGGTGCCATCACCATCGCCTTGGGTGTCGTTATTTTCTTCCACATTCCCAACAAGCCAACTGAAGCTTGGTTCCTTAATGACAAGGAGAAGAGCCAGGTTGTCGAGAGAATCAGAGTCAACCAGCAGGGTTTCGGTAACAAGCACTTTAAGAAGTACCAGCTCATCGAGGCTTTCACTGACGTCAAGACATGGCTTTACTTCTTCCTTGCCGTTGCCAACAACATCCCCAACGGTGGTCTTACCAACTTTGGTTCCATTTTGCTTAACGAGGACTTTGGCTACGGTGTGGGTAAAACACTTCAGATGCAGATGATCCCCGGTGCTGTGGAAGTGGTGGGCTGTATTGGTTTTGCATACTTGTACAAGTACTACCCCAACAGATTGTTCTGGGCCACCTCTGTGTCGGTTATTGTCATCATGGCTCTTTGCTTGGTTGCGTTTGTGGAGAACAGACAAGCCCAGTTGGCCGGTTACTGTTTGTTCTACTTGTGTCCACTTGTGATGATTTGCGGTTTGTCGTCTTGTGCTTCGAACGTGGCTGGCCACACCAAGAAGGTTACCGTGAACGCCATTTTCTTGATTGGATACTGTGTGGGTAACTTGATTGGTCCTCAAACTTTCATTGACGCCCAGGCTCCCGGTTACTCTGGCGCCAAGATCGCCATGGTGGTGTCCTCTGCCTGCGCAACCTTAATTATGATCGCCATCTGGATCATCATGGCTCGTGAGAACAAGAGAAGAGACGAGCGTGCCACTGACTATCTAGAATTCCAGCAGATCGAAAACCACGAGTTCGCCGACTTGACCGACATGGAGAACCCAATGTTCAGGTACACGATTTAAAAGTCAAAAATATATGTATATGTATGGGAGTTAATGCAACGTATGATCTTTCTATCACTTTCTTTTTAGACTCTTAGACACACAGCTTCTGAAGGCATCAAACTCCTTCTTACAAGAGTCCTTGTTCATGTTGTTGTATGTGGCGAGAACGCAATTTCCGTAAGCAGCACCAAGCTCAGCGCATTGAGCACTAGCTTGCATCAACTTGGCGGCTGGTCTTGTTTTGGTCATGAGAAGAAAGTAGTATGGATGGGTTAGATTGACTTCTCGATGTACATCGCAATGTACACTCCGGAAGCACCAGCTACTTGATGTCATGAAAAAAATACCCTATATAATCCTGGGAGACGAGAGTCGAAGAATCTTTGGCCTATTCCAAAAATCAGATATCATGCTTGAATTCCTCTATTCGGGCCCTATTATTGTTTCTGTGAAGTTGTCATCAATTTCGCAGCCATATTGTGGGCCTTCTCTATATAGCTCTAAACTATGTATATGGTCACATTCTATGTGTCTAATAAATATTATGTGAATCTACGCTCCACAGCGTAGACTAGTTTCATGGACTGCTCCATGAACATCAAGGTCAAGATCGAGTGAGGTCCCACTCTGAAGAGCTGGGCCCAGAATCCCTTGTATAAAGCTGTAAGGCCTTCGATTTTGATGGTCTTAGCGAAACAGTCAATTGGACCCTTGTAGAGGTCACCCTTCTGGTTATATAGTCTCGTCAACACCACGTCCCATGGATTCATCACAATAGCCACACCCAAGCCTGCCATGGATGAAGCAGCAAAATGCAAACCAATAGTACCATTGGCCATGAGGTTGTGATCTAAGAGGTAGTTCTTTGTGAGGTTGTAAACAGGCAACTGGGCAGCGGAACCAGCACCAGTACGCAACACAGCAGCATCGGTTCCTCTAAAGAGACCCTTGACACCCTCTTTTTGGAAAATCTGCTTCAAGCCATCATAAAGGCCTTTATAGTGAGTTTGCTCACCGACACTGACCTTGAGCGAAGCGCTTGCTTTGTTAAAAGACTGCATTCTTGTTTTGATAAGAAAGAACGGATTGGCCAAAACTGCACCAGCAGAGCCCGAGATGAAACCTGCAAACACGTTGACCAAAAGGTTTTGAGGCACATCGCTGTAATGATCGCCGGTAAGTGAGCCGGGGTTGAACAACTTGGTCAAGTAGAATCTGCTGGGTTCGTAAAGTCCAATACGGCATCCGTTGAGCCCAAGTTGATAGACATAACCACACAAAAGACCTTGTTGTAAACCACGCAATCCCTCGTTTCTGTAGATGACCACCAGTGCCTGCAAAGGGTTCGTGTAGAGCTTCTGAGCGTTCTGTTTACTGGTGAGTTCACCTTGAAGCTGCATTCTTGTCTTGATCAACTCGATAGGATTGGTGAAAGTCACGGCACCGCAAGCGGCAATACCGCCAGCTATGAAGCCGCCTAGCGTTGATACCTCCTGTGCTATGGACTTTTCCCTCTGGCTCATGGAGTGAGTGTGAAAGAAGGTTGGATAAGAGTTTGAAGAGTCGCGGAGGTGAAAAATTTGTGATCCACCGGTTCCGAACACAGAAGGGTGGGTTCTTGTTGAATTTGCAAAAATGGGCTATACAATGGATTTAAAGTGAATCGCTTTGATGACTTTAGCTTTTAGAGACTTTCAGAGGACGTTCAGAAGGTGTTACTAGATTGACTCTGACATAATAAGACATGGGTGCTGAGGCAGACAGAGTGGGTTATCGGAGTACTTTCCACAAAGACGGTACTCTTCAACAAACTTTAAAAAGCTTCAAATACCATATTCCATCAGATATCTTGCTACTTGAAGTTTAACTCGCAAACGAAGCAATGTGTCAACGGTTTGACAGTCGCAGCGCCTATCGTAATGCCGGTACCGGTCGGCTAATCGCACGTGAGATCGGTACCTGGATTCACCGGCGACTACACCAACAAATGGATGCAATTGGCTACGAAAATGAGGGAACTTTTGGAACAGAAGTTAAGAAAGAATGATGGAGAAAATGGGTTTGGTTTTGGCAACAGATGCATATTCTGATTGAATGTCTATGACTTTCGAATGCTAAGCTCGAGCATTACGTGCAGCAGGTAGCACTGGATAGCACCACTTTAAGATTTCGAGATATTGCTTTGTGTCACCACCAAAAGCACCACTCGATCATTCAGCTTTTGGCAAATATAGCTAAGCTCTTGTCGAACTTGAGTAAACATTTTAACATCTTCGGCCTCTCCACATCTCATTGTAATACATCAGCATCCAAATTAGCTGGCTAGTACAAATGAAAGAAGAATGATCAGTATGATTGCATTTCCAAATTCCAACAGTTCTCAAGCTCTTGTCTCGCTTAGTCTTCGAGGCACGCGCGGCTGCAAAATCCCTGCGCAGCATACAGTAAGAACTGGGGTGTGCAGGAAGATATGGTGGAGTATGCCCTAGACTGGGTGCGATACAACAATCGACAACAAATAAGCTTAACATGGGTTATCCTAAAGATTTGAAGCCTTCGATCAAGAAGGTCGCTCACAATGTAGTCACCTTGGCTGTTCCGTTTGCAATTCTCAATGTCGCCAATATTGGTAACAGAATGTCTATACTCCGCTACGGCAACGAGATTATCCTATGGTCGCCCATTCCTTATGGCGACTACATTGATGAGGCCATAGATCTTTTGGTGAGAAGGAAAGATAACCTCAAGGTGACACATCTTTTTGTGGTGAACAGAGAACACAATTTGGTGGCAAAGTCGTACTTGGAGAAGTTCCCAGATATCAAGATAGTCGGAGGTGAGGGCGCATTGGGCAAGGATTTCAAAATCGACCATGAATTCACCGCCGAAGACAGTAACAAGGTGATAAAGGGAGAAGACGCCAAAGCCAAGTTCGGGGCAACTGGCGACTTTTGGGGCAATTTGGAGTTCCTCTACATGGCAAAACATAAGAACCAGGAGGTTGTCATTTACGAAAAGAATCTCCACATGCTCTTTGAAGGTGACCTTATCATGGACTGTGGCAGACCAGATAACGAAGGAAACTACGAGTGTTACTCTCCTGCAACAGGGTACCCTCACCAATACAACCCATTCACAGGACTTTCATGGGCAATTGGTGAGATCAAAGCAGGAGGCTGGCTCGGTTGGTTCATGCATTGTGTTTTTGCCCGTACATGGACAGCTGCAGGTGAACAGTCAATCAGGTTGGTGTATGATGCCTTTGACTTCGACACCATCGTTCAGTGCCACGGAAATATCATCACAGGAAATGCCAAAGATATCTACGCAGAGATTTATCCGTGGTTGAAGAAGGAGCAATAAAAAAGGGGAGTTAGTTAGGGAGTTTTTTGGGGGATTTATATGGTTTTGTTTATCAGTATGCTCATCAGTTCTAGATGGTAGACTCTTACTATGCTTACTATGCGCGCACTTAAGTATTTGCCATTAGCTTACTCTATTCTGCAAAGACCATGTTAACAAGCAAGGTCGGCTCCATATTTCGCCGGTCCCTCCAGCTGCGATGCCTTGCAACGGCAGCAGCCGGAGAATCATCTAACTTATACCAGATTGGTGAAAAGCTTCATGGATATACTATCAAGGAAGTCCAGAAGGTGCCGGAGTTCTCTTTGACCGCCGTGAGGTTGGAACATCAGAGAACAGGGCTGGAGCATTTACATTTGGATGCTCCCGCTGATAAGAACAATGTGTTTTCGGTTGCCTTGAAGACTAACCCCTTGGATGCTAAAGGAACTCCCCATATCTTGGAGCACATCACACTCTGTGGCTCCAGAAAGTACCCAGTGAACGATCCGTTTTTCAAGATGCTAAACAGGTCTTTGAACAACTTCATGAATGCCATGACGGGCCATGATTACACATTCTATCCCTTTGCAACCACTAACAAGACTGACTTCTACAACTTGATGGACGTCTACTTGTCTTTGGTCTTTGATCCGCTCTTGAACCACCAAGATTTCTTACAAGAGGCCTGGAGAATGGAACAGCTGGATATGACGGATAAGGCGAGCCCCATGGAATATAAAGGTGTGGTGTTCAATGAGATGAAGGGCCAGTACTCAAACTCCGCGTACCTCTTCTGGATCAAGTTCCAAGAGGCCATTTATGGAAGTTTGAATAACTCAGGAGGCGATCCAAGCAAAATTCTCGATCTCAAATTCAAGGAACTCCAAGCTTTCCACAAGCAAAACTATAACCCCTCCTACGGTAGGACCTTCACCTACGGTAACCTTCCACTTGAAGCCCATTTAAAGAAGCTCGACGACTTCTTTGCGGACTTTGGCAGAAGCAAATCAAATCATCGAGAGGTGAAGAAACCAATTTTCGAACTTGATAAATCAAAGCACTTTGACGTTGAAGTTCCGGGTGTGGTTGATCCTATGACCACCAAGCCCATAGAGGAACAGTTGAAGTCTTCCATTACGTGGTACCTCGGCAACCCTCTTGATGAATCTATGAGATACGATGTTTTCAAATGGAGGATCTTAAGTACTCTTCTCCTCGATGGCCACAACGCGCCATTCTACCAAGAGTTGATCGAGACTGGTTTTGGTGAGGACTTCTCTCCAAATACCGGCTTTGACTCGATGACAGCAATGATGAGTTTCACGTTAGGTCTCAGTAATCTTTCAAAAGAAAAAGTCAAAGAACTTGGTCCAAAAATTCGCAACATATTGGTTGACAAAGTTATGCCCGAGCTCGCGCGGGACAAGGACAGCTCGTATCACGAAAGGGTTGACGCCATGATTCATCAAATCGAGTTGGGGTTCAAGAAACACAAACCTGATTTCGGTGTGGGCTTGTTGTCCTCGCTCGTGCCTCTGTGGACGAACGGTGCCAATCCGATCAATGCTTTGAAGATTGACCACATTCTCAACACGTTCAAGAAAGACTATGAAGAGAACGGCTTGAAAATATTCTCAACCATGATCGAAAAAACAATCTTGAACGAGGATTCGCCACAGTTCAGATTCACGATGATCCCAGATGAAAACTTTAATCAAAGATTAACACGACAAGAGAATGAAAGACTTTCGCTGGAAGAGAACAAACTCGATGAAAATTCCAGGGAGAGCATTTATAAAAGAGGCGAAGACCTTCTCGAGAAACAAAAGAAGAGTGACTCTGGTGTCGAAGTTTTACCTTCGCTTACCGTTGATGACATCCCTCGCAAAGGCGACTTTCATGAAATCTCATTTAGTCAATTGGCTGGTGGTAACGGAAAAATTCAAAAGAGAATCACCAACACCAACGATCTCGTTTACGTCACAGCCACCAAGGACTTGTCTTATCTTCCAGTCGAGCTTTACAAGTACTTACCGCTTTTCAACTCGTGCTTGACGAACTTGGCTGGAACATCGCAATTGTCAATCTTAGAATTAGAGAACAAGATCCAGAGATATACGGGTGGCGTGACGTTCACTACGTTTGCTAAAGCGGATCCCTTTAACATTAACAAGTTGAACTTCAAGTATCTGATGTCGGGAATGGCATTGAAGGAGAACACTGGTCATTTGTATGAGATATGGGAAGATGTTTTAAGCAATACCAAGCTTGATGGGAACGACAAGGAGGTTGTCGAAAAGCTTAATGTTTTGATTAAGAATCTCGGACAGAACCAGCTTAATAACATTTCAGACAGAGGCCACGTTTTCGCTAATTCTTACAGCAACGCTCAATTAACACCCACGAAGTATGTCAATGATCTTTTTGGAGGAATTGAGCAGGTCAAATTTATACTGGAGCTTAATAAGAGGTTGGACACCGAAGGAAAGGAGTATCTTTCGAGAGAAATCTTGCCAATTCTCAAGAAAATTCAACAGTCTCTTTTACATAAGCATACGGAGGGTGGAATTTCTGGCTTCAATTACAACATTGTGTCCGATGCAGCATCTGTTGCTGAAAACGAGAAGTTGATCGAGAAGTTTGACCAAAAGCTTGTGTCCAACGAGCTGGTACTGCAACGAAACGTTTTACAGGATCTCACTGCAGGTTTTAGCCCAGCTAACGGCTCGAATACTATTCTCAAATTGCCGTTGCAAGTGAGTTACGCTTCTCTTGCTCACTTAGGTGCCGCTTTCACTTCGAAGGACGGAGCAGCATTACAAGTTCTCTCACAGATCCTTACATTCAAGCACTTGCATTCTGTCATCAGGGAATCCAACGGTGCTTACGGTGGAGGCCTTAGCTACGATGGGTTGGGAGGTACTCTCAACTTCTACTCCTACAGAGATCCTCATGGTTTGAAGTCTGTCAAGTCATTCACGGAGGCTGCTTCTATCGCTAAGGACAACCTTACCAACGCTAAATGGGGCGATAAAGATTTGCAAGAGGCCAAGCTCGCGATTTTCCAAAGCGTTGATGCCCCTAGCCATATTTCAAGCCAAGGGTCTGATCTTTTCTTGGAGGGCATCACGGATGAAATGAAGCAGGAAAGAAGAGAGAGATTTTTAGATGTCAGTCTTGGCGATTTGCAAGATGTTAACGAGAAGTACCTCTTAAAGCCCGATATCTCTATCAAGACCGTCATCGGTGATGTCGAAGCTCCAAGCGAGGAGTGGAAGCTGGTACTGTTCTGATAATTAGATTGTACATAGACCAGGATAGATAACCATTATATTAGCGGATGCTGCTATGTACATGACGACGTAAGGATATTGTGAAATCTTCTAGCGATGTCTTCCCAAGAAGTCTCTGTCTAGAGGGTTGGCGAGCTTTCTCTTCTTCGCCTCGGTGAAAAGACAATGTCTTTTGGCTCTTGGATCATATAGGATGAGGTTGAGCTTTGGTGAGCCTTTGCGTATTCTGAAAAACTTCTCATAGCCGGTTTTAGCGGCAGAGATGAGCTTCACCACCGAGAAGTTAGCGTTCTTGGCCATGGTCTCTTGAAGGTGTGAATCTTGGGATCGCTATAGAGATTTTTCGCATAATGTATACTTGACACCCGTACATCCGTGATGCCACTAACTGGTTTGGAAGATTGGGATATGAGCTTTAGCGGTTTATTCAGACTCTTAAAAGGAAGTTCGATGGTATTCCATTTGATCTCAATTATTTTACTAGGTGTAAGGTCACTTCATTGGTTTTTATGTAACGCGAAAAGTATACAAGTTGGGCCTCTATTTTGCATTTCGCAGCCAATTTGTATGTGCCTTGATGGATTAGAAACGAATGGCAAAGAAAATACGAAGGTTGTTATTAAGGCACTTCCAATGAATAAAAGTGTTACAGGAGGAACCAGAGGATTTATTTGCTGCCAATACAGTTCAATCGTTGATAGCCTTTCTTAGAGTATACCTACGGTGCGATACCTGGTGGTATGAGGTATGAGCGTTCGTCATTATCCGTAGACAAGAAATTAATCAAAACAGGGAGCTACGACCCAAACTATTCAAATAGAAATCTGGAAGTTGTTTTTCGTCTGAAGCGGTCTCGGAGAGGACTCCCGAACATTTTTTT